TGCTATTACAAATAGTGCTGCTATGAACATAGTTGAACAGCTGTCTTTGTTGCATGGATGTGAATCCTTTGGGTATATGCCTAAGAGGGGGATTGCCGGGTCCTGTGGTAAACTAATTCCCATTTTCCTGAGGAACCGCCTTATTGATCTCCAAAATGGCTGTATGAGTTTGCACTCCCTCCAGCAGTGGAGGAGTGTTCCACTTTCTCCACATCCTCTCCAACATGAGTCATCATTGGTGTTTCTAATTTTAGCCATTCTGGCAGGAGTAAGATGGTATCTCAAAGTTGTTTTGATTTGCATTTCCCTGATAGCTAAGGGTGTGGAGCATTTTCTTAAGTGTCTTTCAGCCTTTTTGATTTCCTCTATTGAGAATTCTTTCTTCAGTTCTGTACCCTCTCTCTCCATATCTCTTCAATATCATACTAGAAGTTCTAGCTAATGCTATAAGACAACAAAAGGAGATCAAGGGGATCCAAATTGGAAAGGAAGAAGTCAAACTGTTTCTATTTGCAGATGATATATAGTTTACATAAGCAACCCAATAAACTCTACCAGGGAACTCCTACAGCTGAAAACACCTTCAGGAAACTAGCAGGATACAAGATAAACTCAAAAAAATAATCCGTAGCTCTACTTTTTTCAGACCACAAAGAGAAAGAAAGAAATCAGAGAAACATCACCCTTTACAATAGCCACAAGAAACATAAAGTATCTTGGCGTAACGCTTACCAAATAAGTAAAAGACCTATATAATAAGAACTTTGTGGCTCTAAAGAAAGAAATTAAAGAAGATAACCAGAAAATGGAAAGATCTCCCATGCTCTTGGATAGGTAGGATAAACATAGGAAAAATAGCAATCTTGCCAAAACCAATCTACAGATTCAATGCAATCCCCATTAAAATCCCACCACAATTCTTCACCGACCTTGAAAGGATAATAATCAACTTTATATGGAAAAGCAAAAGACCCAGGATAGCCAAAACAACCCTATACAATAAAAGAACTTCAGGAGGCATCACCATTCCTGACTTTAAGCTCTACTACAGGGCTATAGTTCTGAAAACAGCCTGGTATTGGCATTAAAATAGACAGGTAGACCAATGGAATCAAATTGAAAATCCTGATATTAACCTACACACCTATGAACACCTGATTTTCAACAAAACAGCTAAAATTATACAATGGGGCAAGGACAGCATCTTCAATAAATGGTGCTGGCACAATTGGATGAGGGTGTGTAGAAGACTGCAGATAGACCCATGTCTGTCACCATGCACAAAACTCAAGTCCAAATGGATCAAAGACCTCAACACCAATCCAGCCACATTGAACCTCTTAGAAGAGAAAGTAGGAGGTACCCTTGAACAAATTGGTATAGGAGACCTCTTCCTGAACATAACTCCAGGGGCACAGACTCTGAGAGAAACAGTTAATAAATGGGACCTCTTCAAACTTAGAAGCTTCTGTAAGGCAAAGGACACAGTGGACAAGACCAAATGGCAGCCCACAGACTGGGAAAAGATTTTCACCAATCCTATATGCGACAAAGGGCTGATCTCCAAAATATACAAAGAACTCAAGAAACTAGTCAACACAACACCAAATAACCCTATCATACCTCTTTTCTGCTCTCTTATATCCCCCCCCCCCAAATCTTCCTGCTTCCTCGTGTCCTCCTCTCCCTTCCTCTCCTCTCCTTTTCTTTCTCCCCATGCTGCTTTGATTGCTCAGGAGATCTTGTCCCTTTCCCCTTATTTGGGGGACCATGTATGTCTTTCTTAAGAGGAAATTTTAAAACTATAGTATGAAGTAGAAAAATAAATTTAGGACAATCAGAACAGAGAAAATTGATATCTGAAATTGTCTCTGTAGCAGAATCCTAAGATTTGTGAATTCTGATTTGGTTCATTTGAAAGGAATTCAAGATTACCAATAATTTGGTGTATTTGAAATATTGTAGCTAAGGAGCAATCTAGAGTGTTGTAATAAAATATTTTTGAGAAATTTCATATTAGGGAAACTGGAGAGATGGTTTAGTGGTTAAGAACACTTGCTGCTTTTACAGAGTTCAGTTGCCATACTCAGATGAGTTAGTTTACAGTTGCCTTTAACCCCAGTTCCAGGGAATATGTCAGTAGTCTCTCCTGGCTTGTGTGGGCATGCAAATAACACACACACACACACACAATGTAAATACATAAATAACACATTTAAAAATGCCATGATGTTCTCCCTTTTTTTTGAATCAAGAGTAAAACCACCTAACTTCTCAGAGTAAATACTTTGAAAAAAATGTTTGATAGTGGTTTAACTTTAAGTATTAAAAATGCAACATCTCGGTAAGACTTGGAGAAAATTATTGACAATAAATTTTAGGACCAAATAGCAAGACTGATTTATTATTATTATTGTTGTTGTTGTTGTTTTTATCATTATAGCATATAGTAGACAAGTATGTATCCCCTTTCTCATGGATATTGTGTTTTAAAATTTCCACAGGGGGAAAATTATCTTACCCTGGGACACTATAAGCAATTCATTGTTTCTGTAAAGTTTAAATGTTTGTTTAGACAGTTGAAAACCATTACTAAATAGTTATGTTTATTTTCTCAATGATTCCATTTTTTTTCTTTTCTAAATTTGCTCCCTTTGTTTCTACTTTAGAAAAAATTTTTTTATTATGTATATAGTATTGTGCCTGCATGTATACCTGCAGTCCAGAAGAGGACACCAGATGGTTGTAAACCATCATATGACTGCTGAGAATTGAACTCAGGACCTCTGGTAGAGCAGCCAGTGCTCTTAACCTCTGAGTCATCTCTCTAGCTCCCATTAGCAAGCTCTCCAGCCTCCTGTTTCTACTTTTGGAGCAAGTAAAAGTCATTTAGCCTTTCAGTGCTACTCTTTAATTATTTATTTAAGTAAAGGCAGTATAGTTTACTTTTGAAAGAAATGGATGACTTAGTTTACTATTCATGGAACTTTTATTACTTAGTTTAGGAAGAATTTTATTTTTATGATTATATGACCTGTTTTTATAATTTTATTTTTCTTAATTCTCCCTTTGATTTCTTACTGTACAAAGAGTAAGCATACTTAATGTAATGAAGGGAGAATAATGCTTAGTCCTGTAAAGAATGTGTAAACTTTTAGTACTAAGGAAGTGCCTTGATAACTATTCTTTAGGTGCTTCATAACAGACAGAAAGCTATTGGTCTGAGACCTCAATTACCAGGGGCTGGATTATTGAGCATTACAGAAGTAATATGCAAGTCTACCTGCTTCTGATTTGCTAGATCATTTGATGTGATGCATGTTGATTTTTGTTCTTGGAATACAAATTATTCCTCAAGTGTCAAAAGATGATTATAATGACTCTTCATAATGTAGGATTGTCCGTCTGTTCCCAACCCCACAGCTATTAGTGTTGTCTACTGTTAAAGACATTTTACCCTATCTAAGACCACCACAATAACATTCAGCAAGTCTTATTGTATTACTTTTCTTTTAGATCTACAGCCTGTTCTGGAATTAGTTTTGTATGTGGTATAGGAAATAAATCAAGTCCCATATTCTTATGTGACTGACTCAGCACCAGTGGCTGAAAATACCCCCAACTGTTCTACTGGCCTCCCTTTGTTACAATATAGATCATTTATCTTTCCTTACCATTAACTGTAACTCATTATTAACTAAGATTCCTTAAAAATTATTCAAGAAGCATAAGAAAAGTTATAACTGATTAATTACTGGCATGCTTTAACAAACTAATGCAGTTTGTAATGAAAATTAGAAAATATCATTTGTGCCCATTACTCCCAAATTTAGCATTACAATAGTCTATAGATTAGTTTTCTACAGTTGTACTTATCCATGACCAGACTTAATTCAGAAATACTTTATAAAAAATACCAGAAATGAACAATTCTAATTTTTAAGTTATTGTCTTCTGCGCAGTATCTTTAAATAGTGTTATTCTAATAGTGCTTTAAGTATCTTTATTTTACTTCAGTAACCAAAGCATAGGAGTAGATGCTGATAGTTTTCTGATGCCAAAAAGAAGCAGTGAAGTGCATCCTTTTGATTTAATGAAGAGATGATGATATGATAAAGTTTATTGAAACATGGAATAGTAATGAAGAAAAATAGACATTTCAGTAATTTCATTTTATTCTGTTTTATTGGTTATTATTATGAATCTCTTACTGAATGTAACTTACAACATCAGTACATATACAGGATTTTCTAGTAGCCGTGTTTTCAGACCATGGATTGCATCCCCCATTGATGTGAGGAAACTACTATTCCCCAGCCCCTAAAGATGCCATCCATTATTCTACAGTAATAACTTGCTGAATAGAGTTTGAAAAAACATTCCTAGTTCTCATTCACGTATACAAATAACTATTCAGTATGATTTTGAAACTAGTTTTTTTGTTTGTTTTTGTTATTATAGAAACAGTCACACCTTTGAGATAAAATAAACTTACTGTTCTTTGTACCTGTGCAAATACTGATGTTTGTATTGGAAATACATTTGATTTCATTTCTGAATAAAAGTTGGGTGATTTTATTTAAAATCTTTAACAAAACTTAATTGTATGGTCAGCTGTTATTTCATCATTTACCTTTTTGAATATTGAATAAAATTAAAAGTCATAAGCCAGTTTCTGATACAAAGAATGCTTTTATTTGTGTGGGTGTTTTATTTTGTGCTCTAAGCTTCTAGAGCAGGTTGACAGCTAGATAGGATTTGTACAGTATCCAGGTAAGCTAATTTACATACTCGCCTTTCCTGATCCTTCAGTTTTCTTTTTAAAGAGCAGCTTCCTGTAAAAGGGTTGGTAATCTTAACATCTCTTACATTTCTTTTCTACACTCCTCCTACTTTCAAGTCTCATTCCACACTACTGTCTTCATTAATTAAAAACATTATTGAGTCAGAAGGTACTTAGACAAGTTCATTATTTTGTTGTCTTTCTTTCTCTTGGCTAGATACCTGTGGAAGGACAGGAGCAACAGACAGATTCCACCAAAGGACGATGTCTGAGGAGAACTGTCAGTGTCCCTTCAGAGGGTCAGTTTCCTGAGTACCCACCAGAGGGCACCGCTAAACTAGGTAAGCTAATGAAAGAAAAACCCCTGTGTTATATTGGATGGTTTGTGGATGTGTCACTGCTACAGTAAAACAAAGTACTGTATGTTTTTTGTTAAACTTGTATGTTCAAGTCAGTAGCCTGTTAACCCACATTTAAAGTTCATCAGAGTTATAACCATGCAGCAGCAGTTATTGTATGCTGATAAAATTTGTCTTTGTGCTACTCAGTAAGATTGCTGTTTGGTCTAGGCAAATTGGATGGCATAACTCTGTACTATTGCTGATCTCTGGGCTTTCAGAGCGTTGGTGGTTTTACTTCAGTCACTGTGTGAGAGAACATGGTATTGAGTGGTTTAGACACACCCTTTTCATAGCTGCTGGTGTTTTTATGAATGTCAGAGAAGGCTAATTTAACTTTGTATGTCCTACATAAATTATATTCAGTGGTTCAAGTAGATGACAGAGGGAGAAATGTTAACTCCTTCCATTTCAGATCAGGAATAGCTTAGTGATGATACCACTGTCTGCAAATCAGAAACACTCCAGACACATTTAAGTTGTCATATCCCCAAAGAATTGTTTGAAAGCATTTTATATCAAAAAATCATTAGGTGTTATTACTTTGCATACTTAAATAATTAAGCTAGCACAATAATTTAAAGGAATACACAATTTAGAATAATGAAGGAATTTGAAAAATAGGACCTTCGTTAGGGCTTTTACATTGTACTATTTATTTAATAAAGCATAAATGTTTTACTCATGGATACATAGTAAGTAAATAAAACAAGGTCATTTATTGTTTCTGTGGTGGTAGTCAATGTCTATAATTCTATGATTTGGGTTGTGTTTTCTAAAATAATTGTTTTGTTGTTTAAATGTAGTTCAGAATTTAAATCCTTCATTTCTCTTATTTTCTTGTACAACTTTCTACCTTAAAAACAAATTAGGCTAGCAAATATTCTCTCCATGTTTATTATTTGGAGGAACTGTATTCCAGTCATTTGGTTTACTTTGAACCACATTAGCCTGTGTTGAAGCCACCGTAGGCCCACATAATATTGAAAACTTACTATAGTGTAAATATTTTATAACTTGTCTTATTTCACATGTGCTGATATTCCATATATACAAACAGGCCAAGAATCACCATCTTTTATTTCCATTTTTTTTATTATTTCTGCTGTATTGAAGTATTTAGGTTTGAGGAGGTATAATCAGTCTGAAGAATTACACAGAGTTCTAGAAGAGATGATTAATGACTATTAAATAGTTAAAATATTTACTGTGTTCCAGATACCTTTCCTAAAGACAGAATATCAGGTAGCAAAGGTGCCTGGTCTCAAGCCATTCTCTGACTTTTATTCTGGACAGGTCTGGTGGTTGTCCTTACTAATGAGACTTAGTGATAATTTTCAGAATTGTTTTCCTAACCTTAGCTCTGAAATTTACTTTCATTAATATGAGAGGGCAAAGCTTATCTCTGGAGAAATTCTTCTCTTTCTTAGTTGATCTTGAATTAGCTTGTTTTATTTTTATTTCCTGGTGAATTTTCTTCAGGCAAATAACCTTTTGTTGAATGTTCCATTGAACATTTGTGTTTGTCACATTTGGTGCCAGTCTAAAGAATAAAAAAAAGTAGAGTAGGCTTTTAGGGTTTGTGTGTGTGTTTGTTGTTTTTGTTTGTTTTATTTAATAAGATAGAACAAATACACATAGAAATAAAAATTTAAGTATTTCTGTATGCCTGAAAATAGAAATTGAAAAAAATTAATATGCTTAGTACAATATTGCAAGACAATAAGTATCAAGAAAAATAAATCTAATGTGATATGCAAAACTTATACACAGAAAATTATAAAGAGAATTTAAATAAATGAAGAGCATGGGAAGTAGAGTTATATTGAGTGTTTGAGAACTTTCAGCACTCTGGATACAGAGGCAGATGGATGTCTGTGAATTCCAGGCCAGGCTGGTATATATAGTAAGTTTCAGGCCATCTAGAGCCTCATAAAAGCCACTATCTCAGTAGTTAAGAGAACTGGTTGCTCTTCCAGAGGACCAAGATTTGATTCCCAGCACCTGCAAGGCAGCTCATAACTACTGTAACTTCACTTACTGGGGATCTGATACCTGCTTCAAGCCTGACTGTGCACTGACATTCACATGGTATACAGACATATACATTCAGGCAAAACATACATATTCTTAAAAAACTTATTGAAAAGATTATGTTACAACTGTTCAGAGTTTTCAGAAAGGAAATTGCTCCTTCAAAAGACCGTATGTCTACAAGGAAGTGATTATTACATGAACATTTCAAGAGCTGGAATTTAGTAAATACTCATTTTTAGTGTAGCTATAACACATAAACTCAAAATTTCAAAAGAAAGGTAGACAGAAATTTTTATAAGCTGTCCTTTTCTTGATACTGCCATATAGTACTTCCTGGTATTTATCATACATCGATCAAGTTATGCACAAGCAATATGAAATGTGTGTTATGTGCATTTATTCCCGAAAGCTTGTCAGTTGTGGTAGAACATTGACATTCTCCTAGCCAGCATCATAGCAGTTACTTTTACCAACTGTCCTGCCAGTTGACAAGAAGCTGCCTTTCTAATCTGCTCTCTTATTATCTCTATCCTGGCACATTAGATAGTTCATTTCTGTGAAGGTGACCAGGGGCACCTTTCATTAAATTGTCATACAGTTGGCAGTTATTTCATAGTTTTTCCAGCAGATGGCAGTAAAATGTCTCAAATAAAAGACTGTTAACATTCAAGTCCCTTGTATATAAACAGACTGACATCAGGGTTGTTCTCAGTATGCACATTCAAAATACAGGGATCGGTGCCTAAGAACAAGATAATAGAGTCCTCAAGACTGTGACCCAGGGTAGGCTTCTCTTAATCAGTCCCAAAGCATTGTTAATATAATTTTAATGTATGCTAATTGGTAATATTAATACATATTAGCCCATGTTAATATTAATAAAACACTTGTGATTGGAAGGTCATATAGAATGGGAGAATGAATGGATAAACAATTAGAGGTAGCTTTAAAATTCATCCTGGAATTCTAGGGATAGAAATAGCATATTAAAATAAGCTTCTAATTGAACTCTTTCCACAAAATCCAGTAAAGCTACAGTAAAGGATTCTACCTTAAAGACCTGGTCCTTCAAGCACATGGAAAACAATAAAGACAAAAGCACACACACACTCTCTCTCTCTCTCTCCTGTTTTTCCCTCTCTCTCCCTTCCTCTCCCCCTCCCCAAAGCCAATAGCAATTAGGTTGTGGTAAAAGGCACTTTAAAAGAGCCATTAATTCCTGGGTCATGTTCTCTTTCCCATTTTACTGCACTCCCTACTTATACCTCTAGTTATATTTTCAGGGAAGAAAACAAATCCATCCCCCTCCCAAGTATCAGGATTTGAGATACCAGGAGAAATTAAAAGCAAGGTACTTTACCAAATACAGGGTAAATAAACATATGTTTGCACATTGGAGGATGAGAATTCTCCCTCCTGCTTTCCTTGCTGTCATTACCCCTCAAGCAAATATTTAGAACATTCTCCTGCTATTTAACTAGCATAGGAGGAGAGACTGATTGATACAAACTTTCCCTAAGACTAGCAAACATAAATTGAAAGACATATTAAAACTAGCAGATAGTAGCAAGCAAGCAAAAGTAGAACAAAAAAAGTAGGCATGGTGACTAGAAAATCAACTGGAAATTTAAAAATAATTTTCTCTGTTCTCAGAAAGATAACCTATTATATGCATGTAACAAGAACTGGATGCTGCATAAAACACTGAGTTCTTGTATAATTTTAATTGATAAATAAAATGTAAACACAGAGCATATTAATGGTGATTGAATTTTGATACATGTATCCCTTGCATAGTGTTTCAAGCAGGCTAAACATACTTTTTGTCTTTAAACATCTGTCTTTTTTTAATGGTGAAACTTTTACAATCCTTTCTAGTTCTTTGAAAGCTACAATGAACTATTGTTATCTCTAGTCACCACACTGTGCAAAAGCACACCTGAAAGTCTTGCTCATCTCTAACTGTGACTTAGTACCCATTGGCTAACCACTCCCTTATCTACCCCACCTCATCTCTAGTCTGTATAAACATCAATCTCCTTTCAACTTAATTGAGATCAACTTTTTAGATTCTGTATGTGAGATTATGTGTATTACAAAATTAGACAGAAATAAAACCTGAATAGTCTTCAGCCATAAAAATATGAAACCGTGTCAGTTGAACCAATATGGATGTGCCTATATGGCATTAGGTAAATACTTCAGATACAAAAGGATAAACAGCCTCTGCACAGTCTTACTCATAATTAGAATCTTAAACAGCTAATGGCATAAAAAATTATGGGTAGAACAATGGTTACCTTCAAGTGGGGGTGGGGTTGAAGGTTGGAGAAGAGTCAAAGGAGAAGAGTAAGTAACTAGGTTTTGTAATACAGCAGGGTAAAATAAAAGTTAACACAGAAACATTGTTTTCTCTAAAAAGTAAAAAAAAAAAGGCAGTAGATAATAGAGGGACCCACAAGTGGACGATATTCAGAGAGTCAGAGACCTTGGAACATTCACCCCTAAATGGGATTTCTCCATCGAATCCCTCTTCTCAGGGCTCATGAAACAGAAAAAGAAGCAGAAAGATTGTAAGAGCCAGTGGAGATGGAAAACACCAAGGAAACTAGGCCTTCTAGATTCATCAGGACTGATGCATGTATGAACGTACAGAAACTATAGCAGTAGGCACAGGGCCTGCACAGGTCTAAGCCAGACAGGTTTCCAGTGCTGAGAGGGGAAGTAGATACAAGCTTCCATCTTTACTCTAGAAACTATCTCCAGTTGATAACTACTCCCAAAGGAAAATTTAAAAAATAGTTTTCTCCAATAGAGTGTCACTGGCTATAAAAACCAAACTTAAGGGTCCATGCCCAGAATGGATGGCCAACAAAAAACAAATTCAGTAGTATTTTTGGAGGTAT